AAAGTTGCTCCATTTAAGATAGCCATACATGGCTATATTTCTCTCTCTCAGCCCCATGAGCTAAACCGTAGGAATTGCTTGATTTTCCCATCCATGCCAACTATGTGAATGGAGGAATCTCCACATGCCAGCTATTGTAATTAGACAGTCAGCACATGTAGCCACCTTACTACCTGAACAGTGACTGCTTCTGATTGGAGTCAGTCATTGTTTATCAACAACTTTCCACCCAGTTCTTTCAATTTTGTAGTTGAAGTTTATGGTGCTGACAGGGCCACTCACAGATCCAATTTTAGCTGATTAAGCAAAAATAAGGTAAAATTTAAGCCATGTATGGCTAGTATTAGCATTTTGTTTTTGGAAAGGTCAGAGTAAGGCACTGAAATGAAGGATGTGCACTAGTCTTCAAAAATCCTTGCCATGTATATAGTTCCAAATAAAGCTGAACGTTACCCATAACAACTTGATAAAAATAATGTTCTTAAAGCGGAGTTCCGCCTGGAAAAAAAAAATAAAAGTCAGCAGCTACAAAAACTGGCACCTGGCTGTGGCAGTTTGCAGCTTTACAGCCGGGTGCCCAATGCACCCGCGAGAAGCGCTGCGCTTTGTGAATGGCCCCATAGTCTTATGGGACCTGTCACGTGTCCCAGAAGACTACGGGGAGGGAGGGAGGACAACTTCCGCTTCTGATCACCTAGGCGATTGCAGTGGAATTCGAAACGGGTATCTGTCAAATTCGGGTACCCGCTCCCTCCCTCGCTTCCCTAAGGTGCAAATCCTTAATGGGAAGCAGGGAACAATGGCTTATTGTAGAGCTTCCCTTTTGGGTGGAACTCCGCTTTAAGGAAGGAACATACATTGCAAATTTAGTGTGTGCTGTAAATTGTCTCCAGCATTGCATCTGTTTCTTCTTGCTGGAGGCTGCCATTTTACCGAAGACCAGAGTCCCTGAGCAGCAGTAATCTTTAGGCTGTCAGCAGGTCGGCCTCTACAAATTCAGCACAGTGCCAAAAAATAAAGAGCAACCGAGCATGTGCACAGCAGGGTGAGACAGTGTATTACTGGATTTTGACAGCAGAACAGTATAGACACTTATTTTTAATGTTTTACATAGCTATTCCGGCAAATAGGGCCAGCATAAAGTGATCTAGCAGGGGTTAATGTTCTGACTAAAGTTCCACTTTAAGAAGACAGAACTTTGTTTAATGAGAGTGGTTTTAAGTAGTCTAGTGGCTCAGATTAAGAACACAATCTGCAGTATTAGTAAAAAATATTGGGGTGGACACCAGCAAAGTAAAGTCCCAAAGGGAAATGTAGTATGGTTGGCAGCTAGTCTCTGATTGATTTCAGAGGTAATTGCATATAAAAACAGTATTTTGCACCATTACCAATGCCAAACAAACTCTTGCTAACCCATTTCTAAAATAGGAATTCTGAATTCTGATATGTTAAAGTATTTTTGTGACTGTAAAGCATTCATATTTTTACAATTTTCTCTTTCTAATCCTTTTCTTGCCTTCAGCTGTTGTAATCAACAGTTTGTGTCAGACGCTGGAGAGCTAAACCACCTGACAATTTCTTATACAGTATATGTTAAGTATCTGTACTTAAGACCCTGAGTGTGCACACATCTGCTGTCCATATTGCGAGAGGGTCCTATTCTCCCTGTTGGATTTTTTTTATATAATGGAAAATGCAGCCTGGAGAACTGGAACAAAGATGGTCCAACCCCCAGGTGGACATGAACAGACAGAAATTATGGCACAAAGATCTTACTGTTGGAATAGCCAAGACCTATAAAAGCCAGAGGTTGTTTCAGCCAACCAGACTATAGATAACCAAAATAACTTTTTCTGGACTGGCCCCTTTGATGGAAGAACATTAGTTTGTGCTTTGAACTTGAACACTGCTGCTTTTATTTGGATGTGAAGACTAGGCCCAGATCCTACCTTTAGATGACTCTTTGCCTATGGAGGTGCAAGATACTTTATTATTACTGTAGACTGATATGGTACCATATCTAAGGGTTAAAACAACAACTGCTGCAAAAAAAAAAAATGATGGTGCTGCTAATATCATTTAAGCATAAGTTACTTATACTAAGGTTACATATATTAAAGATAATGGTCAAAGTGAGCTTTAAGTGAACCTGTACTTTGCCCGTGCTGGGTAAAGCATACATGTACTAAGATGCCTATTCCATTTTCCCTATATATGTTCACCTTCCCTTCGCTCTCCTCTCATTCTATTCAGCCACCTGGATTGAAGGAACATACCTTTCTGAAGTAACTGAGCACTCTGGGATCCCTTGAACCAAGGACACTCAATTTTCTAAAGTTGGCTTCAGATGACTTTTCCAAACTTGTGGCTTTGACATATCATTGACATTTTAATAAGGCACTACTAGAGTTGGGGGCATACAAGAGCCATGACATTGGAGGTGAAATTGCAAGACCCAGGTTTTGAAAAATTAACTGATTCTCAAACCATCTTCTGAAAAACCCTGTTTGACTGTACTAGACACAAATGTAAAGTTAAATGTAATATTTGTAATAAGGTGATATTTGGGTACATCTTGTTTTGTAGTAGGGAAAAAAATCACATCCATAAAATCACTTACTTGAAGAAAGTTTGCCCAAAATATTCAGTATTTGTGTTTTCAAAAAATCAGTATCTTCTAATTTGACCTCTCTGCTGGATAGTCTAAAAGGAAAGGATTGTGGATGTGTCTGAGTGGTTTTAACTAGAACAAATATTTCAAGGGCAGCCTAGATCTATAGCACAGCACTGTGTGTTCCTGACAGGGAAGAGGTTAATGTAACATGCTCTGGAGGTTAAGCCATTACACAATAGATCAATACAAGCACCTTTCTAACACTTCCGAGCCTGAACTACATTCCTGCTCTGTTCCGGAAGCAAAACAGCCAAGATTAACTCCTGGCAATATGTACTTTCCAGCTCTGACAGCTTGGGCCAAAACTGACTGATTACATTTTTTATTTTAATATAAACCAGCATTCACAGTACAGATCCAGTGGGACATAAACTGTTATGAAGATATGTACCATACCCCATTAATTCTAAGAAGCAGGGCATTTATTTTCTGTGTAATTTATGCATTGAATCCACATATGTAGTTTGACAAAACTGGCATTGACAATTGGAAGAGTGTAGCTACATCTGTGTCTAGTTTTAAAATAAGCTGCTAGGGCATTTCAGGGCACATGATACATCTTTTTTATCGTTGTAGGCTTCTAGCTATCATTGATTGCGGTCATTATATTTAAGAGAAAACTTGAAATTAATTACACATTGCTAATAGAGTAAGGGTTTTACCATAATCGGTCCTCCTCAAATTCGTTGACATGGCTAGGGAAATGTTATTTTGGTGCATTTAGACCACAGTGGTAAAAAAAAATGCATGTGGACAATGATTGTATGTGGGCACCCTAACTGACACATAATGAAAATCACAAGACCAAAGTGACAGCAACACATGGCTAAGTATTTTGCGCTGCTTAAAAAACAAAATTTTTTTAAAAAAGCATAACAGCTCATACTTGGAAGCCCAAATGAATATGCTTGGCTGTGGGGCATTCACATGGGCACAGCTGGGAAACCTTTTGACAAGTTGCCAGGTGATCTATGCAGTAATATCTCACTAGATCAAGGACAAGTGAGTTATGCCTGGACATAGTTGGATCAAATCCATCTATGGGCAGGCTTATTGTATCCAAGTGAATCCATCAACTTGGGTACAATAAGCATGTATGGAACAACCCTCTTTTTATGGGATTTTTATGACACAAACAAGCAGATAGGACCATCAGATTAGTAAAAGTTTAAAAGTTCCATTCACAGAAAATGTTTAACATTTGCATAGACCATAAATTGGCGGTTATTACATTACATTCTGTTAAAACTGATGCATGAGCAAGAAAGGTGGATTACGAATCATGATAGGCACACCTGGGTACAATTGTTGATTTTTTTTCGATTTTGCCTCTAAATGCTGTAAATGCCTAGTGTGTACACTGTGGACTCATGGCAAGGACATGTTGGAGTGTTTAGAGGCAGAATAAAGTCAAATGCTTTAAGGGACTGGTTCAGGAAAGAAAATCGAATGCAGTTTGTGCCTGTCCCTTTTGTAGTGCATTTTGATATTTTTTTACCCACGCACTAACTTTTGATCTTACACATTTTTAATACTTTTTTTTTGGGCTAACTTGCTACATGTTGTAGCAGATTGAAAATTTTGAAACACACTTCAACAAACGCCTACAGGTTTGCACAGTGAGCATTGTTATTGAAGTCTTTGAACAAACTTGCTATGTTTTGCTTTTAAAAAAAAGTCCCTGAAGCCCATTTTGCAAAAATGCATTTAGGCTCCAAAACGCTTTTGGATGTTCATTCATTCCATTGGCCAGGATATTAATTCATTCATTGAAATTAATGAATGCTCAAGCACTAATTGCGCCATTGTGATTTTTTTTCTTTGCCTTAAATGCCTGTAAATGCCTACAGTTGCAAGAAAAAGTATGTGAACCCCTTGGGATTTTTTTGATGCCGATTGTGCATGAGCCTAAATGATCTCTCTATGAAAGTATCAACAATAAATTAATTCAGTTTTGAACATAATACTACAAAGAAATTAGAGTTTTCAATCAAGTGCAAAGCCATGATTTTTTGCTTGCACATAAATTAAACTGATTGAAGCGAATAAAAAAGTCACCTTATTTTAAGTCAAAAGACTGGTTTACCCTCCTTTGCTGAATGAACCTCAACTAAACTCCTTTAGTGCAACAACTGCACAACGATCTGAGTCATTTTACCAAATAACCCCTATTGCAGGCTTAACCTTTTTAGCGGAATTCCTGAAATCTGTAGCTCGGGGTAAAATGTCAGTACCAAAAGCGGTAACCCCGAGCTACACTCGGGCTTACAATGCGGCCGTTGCTCAGGGAGTCCCTGCAGCACTTACCTTGTGCTTCGCTCCCACGATGCGTCCCCTGCAGCATCCCCAGCTATCTCCTCCGGCCGATGCCGGCATCCGGCTTCCGTGTTCCGGTCCCTGTGACGTCGGGACGTACGGGCGCCAGAACCGGCAGCAAATTTGAAATTTTTTAAAAATGTCATTTTTTTAAAAATGACTATTACATAGTAAAACATTGCTGTTTCAGTGCATTTCACATACATTTTGTCCCTACTGCTTTGTCCTGTGCCCTGCCTGCATTTTGATCTGTTCTTTCTGCCTGGAAACTTAGAAAAGTCCATGGCGTCCAAAAAGCGTCCCTTTACACCAAAAGCGGTTTTAGACCAGCTAGAGAACAGCGATAGTAAATCAGAACCACTTGCAGAATTGAGTGATAATGATTCGTGGGGAAATTCGTCATCAGACACTGAAAAACGATTTTGCGACTTTGCTCAGCGATGTGCGAATTTGCCTCTGTATTTCAAATTTCAGTGTTTTTGGTTTGATTATATTATTGAATTAAATTTAATATTATTATTTTTTATGATTATTTATTAAATTATAATTTATGATTTTGTGTTTCAAATTTTATCCTCCCCGGGATGTTTACTAGACTCTTGTTCGTACAGATTTCAGTGAGTTATTCCTAAAAATTACAGCCTGCAATAAAAAACTACATATTTCCATGTAAAAAAAATGTACCGCTTTCAGCACAAAAAAATCAGAAATATTCAGACCACCGAGGAGGTTAAAGCTTTAGCTCATTTTAGTTGATGCTTTTTTTCTATCAACATTGAAGGAGAATGCAGTTGACCAATATCCATGCCTGAAAATCCATAAAATCTGGCCACTAGGCAGATGCCTCAAGGTTTTGTCTGAACAAGTTTAGAATCATGCAATCACACTTGGCAAAGATCTACCTATGGCTTTTAATTTTTGGATTTCATGGACTAAATATGTGTTCAATAAAAGCAGTCTGGAGAATAATTAAAGCGTATGTGTTCCTTCAGGGTCACAGTCTTTTGTCAGAAACAAGAACAAGTGATAAACAGATGTGCTAGCACATTAATTAAGGGTGTATTTGGTCCCATAATTGTGTGTGGCTAACATGGAGTGAAAGGTTTTCATGGTAGCAGTGGGAGGCAGCTCCTCTGCAGACATAACAGGAAAAAATGAAGGGTTTAGAGCATCTGCTGACAGATTCAGGAAGCATGAGAATGTGGAGCCCAGCAGATCACTGGCTCACAATCATAGCTCTTGCTGTCGCTATCGCCAATTATCTTCCTGATTGGTTTACTTAACCTGTTCCCAGATTTAAGTTAAGTGCCCCATGGTTTCATCCTTCCGTCACACGATGCAAGCATCCTAGTTGTACATCCAGTATAAGAGCCACAGGAAATGATCAGAGTACAGCATGTTACCATTGTGTTTTGCAGTCTAATGGTTATGAACAGAACGTTCCATCATTTTTCTTGTAGATACAACAAACTGACAGGTTTATATGTGTAATAATCATCATGTTTTTTTAAGCATGTTGAAGCGGAACTATATCTCTAAAAAAAAGATATTACCGCTATGTCTTCTCTGCAATAGAAGACTCTTTCCTGCTCACTCGCAAAATTAGAAGGTACTCTGAACTGCGCATTCTACCCGTGCCTTGGTACCAGGTTGAATGAATTCCCATACGCATGCATTAGAAGTACATCATCGTAGGCTGGCCAATTACCATGGCTGAAGATGCCGAACCCAGTAGAAGCTGTTAAAGGCATAGTTCACCTTTTGCCATAACACTGCCTATGCAGATAAGGGATGCCTGTAGCTAAAAACAAGCTGTGTAGCTTTGAACAAAGTTGAATATAGTCCTTGCTGTAGGTGTTGTCCATTTACATACCTCAAGAAGCCTGACTGGAATACACCTAGGACCAGGGCATATTTACCACAAGGCAAACAAGGCATTTGCCTAGGGTGACATTTTTCAGGGGGCAGCACTGTCCTCCTAGAACAGCTGTTCTCAACCTGGGGGGATCGCGACCCCTTTGGGGGTCGAACGACGCTTTCACAGGGGTCGCCTAAGACCATCGGAAAACACATATTTCCGATGGCCTTAGGAACCGAGACACCGCTGCTCTATCCGTCTCCAGGTGTGGGCGGGATGACATGCCGCCCTTGTCATCTGGACACACCCTCGGGATCAATCCTCGCCGGTGATTGGCCGCCGGAACTGTAGCTCAGGAGAGGCACACAGGCGGCCAATCACCAGCGAGGAGGTGGAGCTTGGAGAGGAGGAGCCGAGCGGCACCGCTAAGATCGAGCGAGTGAAGAGGAGCAGAGCGGCCGGAGAAGGAAGACAGCTGACAGGTAAGTGTCTGTACCATGGGAGAGGGAGGGAGCGAGCGAGCCCAGGCTGGGGAGCAGGGGTCAGCAAGGTAAGTATCATTGGTGTCAGTGGGAGGAATAGTGCCCCATCATTGGATTCACTAATACCAATGATGGGGCACTATTCCTCCCACTGACACCAACGATGAGGCACGATTCCTCCCCCCACTGACACCAACGATGAGGCACGATTCCTCCCCCCCACTGACACCAACGATGGGGCACTATTCCTCCCCCCACTGACACCAACGATGGGGCACTATTCCTCCCCCCACTGACACCAACGATGGGGCACTATTCTCTCCCCCCACTGACACCAACGTTGGGGCATTATTCCTCCCCCTGATACCAACGATGGGGCACTATTCCTCCCACTGACACCAATGATGGGGCGCTATTCCTCCCACTGACACCAATGATGGGGCACTATTCCTCCCACTGAGCGGCACCGCTAAGATCGAGCGAGTGAAGAGGAGCAGAGCGGCCGGAGAAGGAAGACAGCTGACAGGTAAGTGTCTGTACCATGGGAGAGGGAGGGAGCGAGCGAGCCCAGGCTGGAGCAGGGGTCAGCAAGGTAAGTATCATTGGTGTCAGTGGGAGGAATAGTGCCCCATCATTGGATTCACTAATACCAATGATGGGGCACTATTCCTCCCACTGACACCAACGATGAGGCACGATTCCTCCCCCCACTGACACCAACGATGAGGCACGATTCCTCCCCCCACTGACACCAACGATGGGGCACTATTCCTCCCCCCACTGACACCAACGATGGGGCACTATTCCTCCCCCCACTGACACCAACGATGGGGCACTATTCCTCCCCCCACTGACACCAACGTTGGGGCATTATTCCTCCCCCTGATACCAACGATGGGGCACTATTCCTCCCACTGACACCAATGATGGGGCGCTATTCCTCCCACTGACACCAATGATGGGGCACTATTCCTCCCACTGATACCAATGATGGGGCACTATTCCTCCCACTGACACCAATGTTGGGGCGCTTTTTCCTCCCACTGACATCAGTGATGGGACACTTTTCCTCCCACTGACACCAGTGATGGGACACTTTTCCTCCCACTGACACCAATGATGGGACACTTTTCCTCCCACTGACACCAGTGATGGGGCACTATTCCCCCCACTGACACCAATGATGGGGCACTATTCCTCCCACTGACACCAATGATGGGGCACTATTCCTCCCACTGACACCAATGATGGGGCACTATTCCTCCCACTGACACCAATGATGGGGCACTATTCCTTCCACTGACACCAATGATGGGGTACTATTCCTCCCACTGACACCAATGATGGGGCACTATTCCTCCCACTGACACCAATGATGGGGCACTATTCCTCCCACTGACACCAATGATGGGGCACTATTCCTTCCACTGACACCTATGATGGGGCACTATTCCCCCCACTTACACCTATGATGGGGCACTATTCCCCCCACTGACACCAATGATGGGGCACTATTCCCCCCACTGACACCTATGGCGGGCACTATTCCTCCCACTGACACCAATGACGTGGCACTATTCCTCCCACTGACACCAATGACGGGGCACTATTCCTCCCACTGACACCAATGATGGGGCACTATTCCTCCCACTGACACCAATGACGGGGCACTATTCCTCCCACTGACACCAATGACGGGGCACTATTCCTCCCACTGACACCAATGACGGGGCACTATTCCTCCCACTGACACCAATGACGGGGCACTATTCCCCCCACTGACACCTATGACGGGGCACTATTCCCCCCACTGACACCTATGATGGGGCACTATTCCTCCCACTGACACCAATGATGGGGCACTATTCCTACCACTGACACCAATGATGGGGCACTATTCCTCCCACTGACACCAATGATGGGGCACTATTCCCCCCCCACTGACACCTATGGCGGGCACTATTCCTCCCACTGACACCAATGACGGGGCACTATTCCTCCCACTGACACCAATGACGGGGCACTATTCCTCCCACTGACACCAATGACGGGGCACTATTCCTCCCACTGACACCAATGACGGGGCACTATTCCTCCCACTGACACCAATGACGGGGCACTATTCCTCCCACTGACACCTATGACGGGGCACTATTCCCCCACACTGACACCTATGATGGGGCACTATTTCCTCCCACTGACACACAATGATGGAGCACTATTCCTACCACTGACACCAATGATGGGGCACTATTCCTCCCACTGACACCAATGATGGGGCACTATTCCTCCCACTGACACCAATGATGGGGCACTATTCCTCCCACTGACACCAATGATGGGGCACTATTCCTCCCACTGACACCAATGATGGGGCACTATTCCTCCCACTGACACCAATGACGGGGCACTAATCCTCCCACTGACACCAATGATGGGGCACTATTCCTTCCACTGACACCTATGATGGGGCACTATTCCCCCCACTTACACCTATGATGGGGCACTATTCCCCCCACTGACACCAATGATGGGGCACTATTCCCCCCACTGACACCAATGACGTGGCACTATTCCTCCCACTGACACACCAATGACGGGGCACTATTCCTCCCACTGACACCAATGATGGGCACTATTCCTCCCACTGACACCAATGACGGGGCACTATTCCTCCCACTGACACCAATGATGGGCACTATTCCCCCCCCACTGACACCTATGATGGGGCACTATTCCTCCCACTGACACCAATGATGGGGCACTATTCCTCCCACTGACACCAATGATGGGGCACTATTCCCCCCACTGACACCTATGATGGGGCACTATTCCTCCCACTGACACCAATGATGGGGCAGTATTCCTACCACTGACACCAATGATGGGGCACTATTCCTACCACTGATACCAATGATGGGGCACTATTCCTCCCATTGACATCAGTGATGGGACACTATTCCCCCCACTGACACCTATGATGGGGCACTATTCCTCCCCACTGACACCAATGATGGGGCACTATTCCTACC